CGTCATCGTTACGGATAGTCTCCTGAACCAGGGGGAGGAAGGAGTTAGCCCTCCCCCTGCTCTAGGGAGCAGGGACAGATGGAAGTCTTCACCTCTGCCACTAAGGCAGAGCCCTGGTTCCCCCACCCAGGACTGAGAGCACTCAACTGCCTTCCCCACTGGTCAGTATGTGCCATGACCCCCTTCAGTAGCTTCCCTGCTGTAATACACCCACTTGCCCACCAGGAGGCACTGCGGCAGCTCACCTACTCCAGGCCCGGCTCTCCATGCAGGAGTGTGTGTGGGGGGGTAGGTTTGTGCCAGTCCCAGCCTTCCCCCGGAGGCGCTGTGTAGGGAGCAGCGTGGACAGAGAGCTGGCTGGGAGCACCTGCCCGCCCCATCTCAAACCACCGCAGAAGGCTGCCGCCCAAACACTGCAGTGTTGCTGCTTCCAAAACTCCAAGGTCATTTGCTAAACCCAGTGCCCCCCCAATGCAGGGGCACCAAGTCTGGAGTGACCCCTCGGCTACCCTCTCCCCCCACCGATCGGGGAATTGAGCCCATCCGGGCTCCCAAAACCAGCCGAGACCCCCAGCCTGGCATCCCTGGGAGCAGGGGAGGGCGGGGGGAAGGCCAGTCCCATCCTCTCCCGCCGCGGCTGTGGTACAGCTGGGTCAGCACACCAAGCACGGGGAAGCAGCCGCTTGCCACCCTGCCTCCGTCAGCAGCCGTCTGGCCAGAGGCTTCTCTCTGAATTGTCCCCCAGACAAAAGGCCGAACCCATCCACCGATTGTCCTAACCCGCATGGGGCCCGTTACATAACAGGCAGGCACGCAGGCCCCAACGTGCAATGCTGCCACCACGGGCACGGGCCCAGCCTCGTGTAGCACCAGCCTGCTCCTCCCCCTCCCCGCAGCCATCTCAGGGCTCTGTGCTTTCTCTGCTGCGCACACCTAGAGCCAGCACTAGAGACTGGTCCACGGTGCTCCTGGCACGACAAGCAGGGGAGATGGGCTTCCCCCTCCCCTGCACGGAGCATTGGGCAGTCTCTAGTCACAGCCCTGGGTCACCACAATCAGAGCAGGTGTGGGAAAGCCCCAGCCCAGCCCTCGCACCAGCTCTTGTGCTCCAGGCCAGGGGCAGCGTATCAGCCGGCCGGGGACAGCCATTCGCTCACACACAAAGCGAGACTGAGGCAGAGCCAGAAACAGGAGCCCCAAGCTCAAACCCCGGGGAGAAGGGAGCGTAATAGCATGAGTCCAGTTCAAGCTCCCTGTAACCCCCATGGAGGCCCAGTCATGGGGTTACAGGGGCCCCCAGGGCATGCAGCCGCCTTCCCATGCAACCCCCAGAAATGCTGCTCCAGCAGAGAGCAGCCCTTCGCTGGCGCCCATGAAGCCCACGTGCGGCCCATAGGAACCCTGCAAGCGGGGACTGGCTGGTCAGCACGAGCCTGCAATGCACCACATAAGCCAGCTAAGGCAGGTTAATGCCATGAGCCAGTCTGCTCCCTCCCAGCGCCCAGGCAGGCTTGTCAGCTGGGCTCTGCGGCTAAGCTGCTGCTGGGGTGTCACTCTGCAGCCAGCTGGGGCCAAGCCCCCTGCTCCCGGAGCCGGATGGACCCTCCAGAGAGCGGCATGAGCCAGGGTCCCCAGCCTGTCCGCTGAGCCTGGCACCAGGGTTTGCCATGGGGACAGCACATGCCAAGCATGGAACTCGGCCGCTTGGGGGTCACCAGGGACCCTGGTACCTTCTGGGCATCTGGGTGCACTCAGCTGGTGTCAGCAGGTGGCCTCTGAGCAAAGGCCCCCAGCAACCCCCTGGCTCTGAGAGCCACCGGCCCCCCCAGCCTCCTTCCCCGCACTGCCCGCCCAGCAACCCCCCCACCGGCCTCCCCAAGCCACCGGCCCCCCAGCATCCTTCCCCACACAGCCCCCCCAGCAACCCCTCTACCGGCCTCCCTAGCATCCTTCCCCCCACCGCCCCCCCCCAAACAACCAGCCCCCCCAGCCTCCTTCCCCGCACTGCCCCCCCCAAGCCCCCAGCCCCGCTCCTCGAGCCGCCCCATCTCCGGGGCCCGGTCCTGGGCGGCCCTTACCGGCAGCTGGGCTCGGCTCTCTCCGGTGCTGGCGCTGCGGCTCTGCGGGCTGCGCGGCTCGGGCGCCGGTAAATGAGGCTGGAGCAAGTGCCGCAGAGCTACGTGACTCCGGCGGGCGGGGCCCGGTGACTCAGCCCCGCCCCGCCCCCCCGCAGCGCCGGGGGGCTCCCAAGGGGAGCAGGGGGCCGTGGGGCGGTGCCCAAGGGGGGAGCAGGGGGCCATGGGGCAGTGCCCAAGGGGGGAGCAGGAGGCCATGGGGCAGTGCCCAAGGTGGGGGCAGGGAGCAATGGGGCAGTGCCCAAGGGAGGAGCAGGGGGCTGTGCCCAAGGGAGCAATGGGGCAGTGCCCAAGGGAGGAGCAGGGGGCTATGGGGCAGTGCCCAAGGGGGGAGCAGGGGGCCATGGGGCAATGCCCAAGGTGGGGGGCCATACCCAAGGGAGCAATGGGGCAGTGCCCAAGGGGGGAGCAGGGGGCCATCTCGGGCATTCCCTGCCCTGGTACCTGTGCCATGGCTGGGGGTGCAGGGTCAGGCACTGCTGCACCCACTGGGAGAGCCAGGGCCTGGCTGGAGAACGCTTGTGGGCTCCAGCACCCTGGCAGGCCAAAGCACATGACCCAGTACGTGACAAACAGGGAGGGAGTATGGGGCCTGGCTGCCAGGACATCTCTGCAGAACACCCACGGGGAGGCCTGAGGCCCTCGAACTCAAAGGGCCCTGGACTGAAGGCTGGGAGGCCAGGCAATCATTCTGTCCTTTGCTGTCCAGGCCCCCAGCGGGCCCCCCTCAGTAGCTGCCAGGCCGACCCTGCCTTCCCCCCTTCCAGGAACCACTGCACTGCCAAGCTTGTCTCCCATTGTTCAGCCCTGAATGGCTCCTCTTAGCAAATGGGAAGTTTAGAGCCGTACGCCCTGCCTGGCACGCACTGCCCAGTGCGGCTTAGCCGGGGCGGGAGGAGAGAAGAGCTCTTCCCCACCAAGATTTACAGCTTCTCCCTGATGCTGCAGACCTGAGCCAGGAGCCAGCCGCCAGCCATTGGCCAGTCGGGCATCTCATGGCCCCACATGCAGCACGGGGCCTCCACCTTCCTCTAGAGCTGCAGCCGGTGCCCTACAGCAGCTCCTAGGCTCGAAGATGAAAATGGGTCTCTCTACTTGCTGTCCTAAGTAGGGCAGAAGGGGCTCTGTGGGGCCCATGGTAGTGTGCAGCACCATGGGGCACAGAGGTGGGTCAGAAGGAGAGTACAATTCTGAGAGGGAAGTAGAGGTGGTGGAGGGGCAGGCCACCACCCTGCCCTTGAAGGCCACTCAGCCTCCACAGGGAGTGAAATCCTACCTCCCTGCTCTGTCTCCCTAAGCAGAAGAGGTCTGGGCATGGGATAGGGACTAGGCCATCAGCTCTGTACCCTGCACTGCAGCTCAAATGCACACAGCAGGGTTAATTTTCCAGGACAGGGGGCTGAGGAGCAGCATAGGTGGTGGTTGCAGCAGGTACTAGTCTCTCCTAGGTAGGGTGTCTAGGCACTGGATCGCAGTTGTTCAGACACTGCTGTTTATCAGACCTGTCCTTTAAGCTGAATACAGTAGGGGGAGGATAGGGAAGTGAGCACCTCACCTACTCCCCTAGCTGCAGCTAGGGGCAGAAGCAGCTGTTCCACGGCTGAAGAGACAGGCAAGGTGACCCTGCCACCCAGCTGAGAGGTGGGGACAGCCCCAGGGAGTGATGTCATTAAAAACCAGAGCATGGGTTTGTTTCCATACAGCTGCTTTTGGGCACATTATGGTAAGTGAAGTCACAGCTCTGCCCTGGGAGGAAATCAATAGACCCCTGCAGCTACAACCCACGTCTCCAGAGCAGAGGGTAGCATGGCCCATGGGAGCCAGCATGAGGCTATGTCCAGCTCAGGGCTTCCCTCAAGCTTGCAAGGCAGGGAGATCCTGCAGATGTTTGACAGAGAGGGGAGGAAACAACTTTTGAGTGAAATAGAAAGAGGTTTTCAAAGTAAGCCCCTTCTCACAGATCTGTGCTCAGGGAAGGCCCAGTATGCATGCTCCCCCAATGAGCTTCCCCACACCCCAGCAGGGTTGCTGGGGACAGGGCAGGAGGCTCTGCAAGACCCTTTGCTGGCCAGAGAGACAGTGACAGGAGCTTAGGCCCAGCTGTGTGGTCCATCTCTGCTGCATGCTCACACCACCAGACAGCTTCCCCTTCTCACCCAGGCCAGGCTGCATTTCCACATCACCCCACTACTGCTTGGCCCTGGGAATCTCTCACACCACCCGCAAGAGCCAGGGTGGCCAAGGAGAAAGCGGCCTCAGGCTACTGCCTCTGCAGGAGGCTCTCACCCTCAGAAAGGAGCACTGGAAGTTAGATCTGAGGAGCAAGGAACTGAGAATCTAGGACACCAAGAGAGGGAGCTGCCTCTGAGGGGAAACTAGGTCAGCCCAGCCTTGCTGGGTTCATGCATGTGCAGTTAGCAGGAGCCCTGGGAACGCTAAGATCAGCAAGGCTGCGTACTAGCTACGGAACCCCAGGGAGGGAAGCGCTCCCCTGCCAAGGAAGGGGGGCTGTCACAACACAGGGAGAGGAGGCGGTGGTGGGGAAGGCAGCGGGCCCTGCTCTGACAGGGATCCCACTTCCTCTCCAGGAGGAGCAGTCACCTGCCCTGTGCTAAGCCCAAAGGAACAGGGCTGGGGAGTCAGGCTGCTCTGACCAGGGGCAGGGGGGTCATGCCAGGTGCTCTCAGACAGTTACTATGAATGCGCCCCTGGCAGGCAGCAGAGAACCCAAGGAATGAACTCCAGCCAGTCAGAGGCAGCACAGCACCTACCTGGGTTGTTAGTCTGTTAGTGAGCCCCAAGCTTGGCTCTCTGATCAGGCAAGAGGCAGAGCACTACATGGTGTCAAAACTTTAATTTACACACACACACACACACACACACGGGAGCCCAGGCCACTTGCGTTCCAGACAGGAACAGTAACAACTGGGCTCAGTTAAAATACAGGGGGCGCTAAGCAAGGGGGCTTCCAAACACGGAGCGAATCACAGCTCATGGCTACAGTGCATCCCCAGAGCATCTGTCGCCATCTGCCAGCTTCAGCCCGAGGTAGCGCAGCAGGTTCTGGAACTCCCGGGAGCCGGCAGTCACCACATCCGGGATGGAGGAGAGCATCTGGGAAAGGAGGAAGAGTTTGAGGAGCTGCAGCCAAGCTGGAGGTGGGGGAGCAGGACTTCAGCAGCTAGGCATGGGACAGGCAGGCCACGCCGAGTGAGGTCTCCATCAATAGCCTTCAAGCTTAACACGAGGCAACTGTGTGAACAGTTCCGGCCTGCCAGCTGGGGCAGCACATAGGTCTGGGCAGGCTCCAGAACCTTCCTGACTACGGAAGGCAGGACACGGAGCAGCCGTGGTCACTGCAGTGACGGCACACAAGCCGTTTCCTGCCCTCAGCATGGGGTAGCAGGTGGGGAGCCCCTCAGGGACAGCAGCAGAATGGGATGGAGGGGCCCCTCCCTGGATGCAATCCCACCACGCTCCTGGGCCCCCAGCCCTTCCACAGCAGCCACATCACTGCTCCAGCCGCCTCAGCACGGGTCCTTTGCCAGACCAGGCCCTTCTGAAGGCAGCCTCGCCTGCGATGCTGGGCCCCTCCCCAAGACGCAGCTGTTCTCCCGAGGGCTTTGTGCTGGCAGTGTGGAAACAGGCGGTGTGATGGGGGGGAGGGGAGCCCTGGCTGTTTGTCAGTTAGCCATGCCAGGAGCCTGATCAGCCAGATCATACTGCTGTAGGGAGAGCCCCTCCCCAAAGGGCCTCACCTCTTTGATCTTCTCCTGCATCTCCTCACGGCTCCTTAGCACCATCTGGGCATGATGGAGTTTCCCCTCCAGGATTCTCCTCTGCAAAGGAGAACACAGAGCTGTGCAGAAGGCGGGGGGAGCAGAGCAAACCCCAGAGCCGCATTTTAACGGCTTAGCAGCTGGGCGGGAGAACCAGCAGCCAGACACCCCCCGCCCCCCCATCGCAGATGAGCCACCTAGGCCCTGCCCTTACTTGGTCCTGGTAGTCACGCTGCGTCTCCAGGAGTAGCTCCCTCAGCTTGTTCACCTGCAAGACAAGCCAAATCTTGGTGCAGGGGCATGATGCAGCTGGATGCTCACAGCCAAGGCTAGAGCCTGACTCGGGGCTGGGGAGAGAACAGACCCCACCAGCCCCCAAAGAGCTGGCTCCCTCCTTGTGCCAGCCGCTCCCAGCCAGGGCACGTACTGCCTCCCCCTCTCTGCCATTGGCCAGCCCATGCCCAGCATGCGGACCATCTAGGGCCTAGCCATGCCCAGCACTCCCCCTCCCGCTGCCAGGCTGGGAGCACCCACTGTCCAACCCCCAGCAGGGCTGTAGGGCCTCTCCCTGTTCCCTCTCCAGAGCATGAATAGAAAGGAGCCGCAACGTAGCAAGAAGGGGCACATGGAAGGGGGCAAACGAATGCCAACAGCCCCGGGGCGCCTGTCTCTTGGCAGTCAGCCCCATGCTATGCAAGTGCCCTAGGCCAAGAGCAAGCTCTCCCCCCCAAGCCGCCGAGCCCCTCCTATCCTGCACCAGAATCTGGCCCTGCCCGAGCACCGCTGGCTTCACCTCCTGCCGTAGCCAGACTTTCTCCTGGACAGCGTCAGCATCCAGTGGTGTTGTGTCGGGCTCCCGTCCCCTCACCTCCTCCCACAGCACCTCAGCCTCCGTCTCTGCACGCCGGAGCAGGTGCTTCAAGTGAGAGACCTCTGCCTTCAGACTCTAAGGGGAGAGAAGCCAATGAGATGCTGGGGAGTGGGGCAAAGGACTCTGCTCCAGCCTCTAAGGGACCACAGGGCTGCTACTCAGTACGGTGCCATGTACAGGACAGCAGTGGGTAGCAGGGCTGAGCCCATTCCAGGATCTAACTCGACATGCCCCCAGCCTGCAGAGGTGGGTACCGTGACTTCCCCACTCCGGTCAATGAGCTGCAGCATCTTCTCCTCCTGTTGGCGCACGATGTCCTGCAGCTCCTTCTCGGTCTGAGGAGAGAGGGTGGCAGCATTTAGGATAGGGTCTCCCTGAGTGGCACCTCCCTTGCAGCAGAGTCTTGGACGTGCCGCTCTCCCAGGAAAGGAGCAGGCAAAGAGGGGCCCCAGGCCCAGGCCCGGTACTGAGGGGAGGCAGCTTGTGGGTTTGTGTCTGTTGCAGTCACCATGACAAAGCTGCTAGCAGACACTCAGCACAGGTCAGAGGCGGGCAACGGGCTGGGCACAAGCCCCCAGTTCACCAGCAGCTTCAGTCAGGTGAATCCCAACACCATTCCCCTGCCCCCAGGGATATCCTGCCCCATCTCCACAGGTAGTGAGGGGTCAGTCACACCAGGATCCCAGCCTGCCCCAATGCAGACGTTACAGTTGGCCCTGCACAGCCAGACCAGGGTAGTTTTTAGGCTGGAGCAGTCCTGTGCCAGGGTCCCTGTGCTCTGCCAAGTCCTGACCCAGGAATACTCGGGACCCAGCCAGTAACAGACCCTCAGACAGGGACGCTGGGGAGCCACACAAGTGCCGCGTTAGATCAGGCTAGCGAGCGGCTGCAAGGGATGGAAAAAAACAGTTACCCAGATTCTCCCATGGCCTAGAATCTGAGCCTGCCTGGTCCACGTCCCAGATCAGCTCTGCCCTGGAGTTCACACCTAACCCAGTTCTGGCGCCTGCTCACCTGAAACCTGACTCCCAGGATCTTGTTTAGCTTGGCAAGGTTTGCATCCCGGGCATCGATCTCTGCCTGGAGCCTGGATTCCAGGCTCTCCAGCTGGTGCTGATGGTCACAGCTATGAGAGGAAGAGCCGAACTGAGTCTCTTCAGAGGGCACAAAGCAGATCGAACGTGGGCTCTCAGGGTGATCCTGCCTCCCCGGGGAGCCAAGTGCTGCTCTCTGGCTGACACTGCCCAGCAGCCACTGGACTCAGCTCATGCACCCGCTGCTCCAACCTGCCCCCTCCAAGGGCCTGGCCTCAGGACTGGACATGAGGGGAGAGTAATCAATCAACACCAGCTCTGCCTGGCATCTGGGGCCATGACAAGGGGACCCGCCAGTCCTGCTGAGGGGTGCCAGCTGGGCTGGGAAAGGACTCTCTGTATGGAATTGCCACCCAGGGTAATGTTCGGGCTGGAGGCTGACCGGGTTAGCTCCTGGGGGTCACAGTCCTAGAGGCGTTGCTCAGTGGCCAATGGCAGAGCGGGAGTGACAGGCCAGCAAGTAGCAGTGGTACTGCCCAGAGCCCGCTGGGCACCCCCATCACTTCTCCTTTGACTCGAGGGCCAGGTGTTGAACTCACATTTTAGCCTGCAGCTCCTGAGCCTCATGATGTGCCGCCTTCTGGCTCTGGAAGCTCAGTGTGATGAGATGAGACACAGCAGCTCTCAGCTCCAAGACAGTCTCCCGGAGACTCTCCTCGATCTCTGGGGGCAGAGCAGACGGCAGGCGAGCAATGGCTCACAGTGCACGGGGCTAGCCCTCAATGCCGGGGTTAACAGAGAACCCCTCGCAAGCAGAAAGGAAACAAACCCATGTGTCATACCGTGCTCAGGTTCTAATTACCCAGCAAGCTCTGGGGCAGCGCCAGGCCAGGAACAGACACCAGATGCTATGCCTGGAACAGCAGGCAGCGTTAGCCCGCCTGCATAGCCAAGGCCCCCAGCCCAGCCCCCTGCCCCTTTGCCTCATGGTGCTGAGCAGTTACAAGAGGGAACCAGTCGCAGAGTCAAACCTGGATGAAGGAACAGGCCTGGGAAAGCCTAGTGCACGGCCCTGCTCCAGGGCCCCTCCTGTGACCAGACCAGCGCCCTTTACGCTGGGGCCCAGCAAGGCCATGCCTATTGGCAAGGGAGGAGAGGGCAGACACCAGGCCGTTACCTGCTGGCATCGGAGGAGTAGCAGGTTCAACCTTGGTGAATGCGGTCGAGCCTCCAGCAGCTTCTTCATCGATGCCTGTAACAAAGCAGGTCAGAGGGGCTTGGTGCTGGGTGATCAGCACAGATTACCCCTTTCTATGACCCTGACCCACTGCTAGGCCATGGTGACTGCACAGATCCGGGAACTTCCCTTCTCCTCTGGGGAGTCCCTGGGGCTTGGGCCCTGAGAGAGGGGACTGGTGCTGAGGCCCCATTCACAGCACCCCCTCACTGCGCCCCATGCGAGGAGTCCTGGGACCAGGCCATCCCAAGGCAGCGATGGTTCTGGGCTTTCTGGCTGTGAGCCCTGCGGTGGGTGATCCTGGCAGCCCTGGGGAGGAACGGCACCAGCCTTGAAGAGCTGAGCCATCCCATCTGCAGGCAGCGTGGGAAGGAGGCCTAACCCCAGGCAGGAAGCCCTGGGCATCGAGGGGCCTGTTTGCCACAGAAGCACCGATGCGCTCACTGGAGCAATCTGGCTCCGGGGTCAGAGGCAGCCCACGGCTGTGGTGTTCTAGGCCTCAAGCAGAGCTGGTTTTCTGTGGCAGGTTCATCAGAATTCATCCACCACCCTGGCCGAGGCCTAACGCAGCCCGACCCGTCACGGGAAGGAAGAGCAGAGCCGCAGGATTCGGCAGTAGAGCCGGGGGCACTGGGAGCTTGATGGCTCCTTCCCAGACATGGGAGCAGCCTCCACCGCTGGCTGGGCAGCTGTAACCACCTCCGCCTTGCTTCAGTGTCACCATGTGACTTCTGAGCAAGCGGCAGAGCAAAGCATTATGGGAAGGTGCACCCCACTCACTGCAATGAGTCTCCGAGGGAGACTCGGCCCTGGTGTACAGAGCACTTCACGCCCCTCCTTGTCTGTGAAGCACTAACCCAGCCCCCGCCACACAGGCAGGGTTTCTGGAGCAGCAGACAAGAACCAGAGCCAACAAGCAATTTCTGGCAGCCACATCCTACCTTTTCCTGCCACAGCTTTCAAGACGCTGCCCACGAAGGAGCTGGGCCCGCTGCGAGGGGTACACACTCTGCTCCTCGATGCAGCATCAGCAGCCTTCAATGACAAGAGACGGTCCGAGTGGCTGGACCACACAGATGACAAGGCAGCATTACAGACATTGCTCTGCTTCCCCAGGGCAGATGGGCTGGAGAAACCCATGCTGCTGTGATCAACAGCTAGAGGGCAGTTCCCTGGGCTCCTACCTCTCCTGGCAGGGCAGCTTGGAGAACGTCCGTGAGGTCCAGCAGCCTCTCCTTGGTCTGAGCGAGCTCCAGGGAGGACTTCAGGAGTTTGTCCCTGATGAGCTGCAGGCCCAGGGCTTCTGCCTTGCTGCAGTCGAGCTCCTCACAGAGGGTGTCCCGTTCCTTCCTGGGGAGAACAGGGGAGTCAGCTCACTCAGTGCTCACCCAGGCCCCATCCTCTCAAGGTGGGGAGGGGAGAGACGGGAGGCACGTCAAGGCAGCCTCGTGGCGCGGCTGGGTTCATTGGCCAGAGCACAGAGGGACATGTGGAGGTGCCGTTTGAATAAGCAAAGGATGAGACCAGCTGTGCCCAGCCAGAGTGCCCATGGGTTTCCCACAGGGATGTACTAGGGTGCACTGAGGGGCTCGTTCACTGGCACCCTTTGCCTCCCAGCCGTGGTTGAGGTTGGGAGGGGACCCTGCACACCAGGAGCTGACCAGAGACATGCCAAGCTCCTTCCCCCGGCGCAGGCTCTCCGTTCATTGGGCACGACACACACGAAGGGCTCAGAGGGGCAGAGCGGAGCTGCTGGCTCACTGGAGGTGCTGGTAGGCATCCTTCAGGTCCTCGTACTGCATGCTGCGCTCCCGCAGGACTGCAAGGGTGGCTCTCAGCTCATTTTCCGTCTCGGTCAGCTGCTCCCGGGACACACGGTTCTCCTGGTCAATGAACTGGGGCGGAGGGAAGAGACACGCCCGTGAACATTTACTAGTGAGGAGCGGGAGCTGGTACAGCGTGGGGTCCTCAGCGCATGCAGGCCAGGAACGGCTAAGGAGGGCCACGTTCATACCAGGAGCTCAATTCCCACTCTACCTTCCTGCAGGCGCACAAGCTGAGACTCCTCCCCCACCCCATTCTCACTTGAGGGGCTGGTGAGGCCTGCCCCCAGTATCGGGATCTTTCATCTAACAGGCCTCAGAGCCCAGCAACAGCTCTGTAGTCTTCCCCCCTTCTCAGAGTGCTTGGAAAAATCAGAGTCCCACCCTCACACCTCGCTCCTCCCCCAGGTCCTCATCTGCCAGCAGACTCTGCTGGGAAGTACGGGATGGGGCGACTCACTGCACTGGGGTGTGCGAAGGCCAGAGCTGCGGCAGCCAGTCCGATTCCCCGGGGGATTGGACCGGTCAGGCATTCAAGTGCATGGAAAGGCCCACCCAAGTCTCACGCCCAGTGGTAACTGCACAGAGATGGTTGGGGAAGAGCTGATCACAGGGATCAAAAGACCGAGCACAGGGAGCTCCAGTTCCGGGCCTACGTGCAGGGAGGAGGCGACGTTAACTCGTCCGGGTCTGTGCAGGCTGCCACAGGGGCCATTAGCACAGCGAGTGTCCTGTGCCCCTAACAGAAGGGTTAGCCCACCCCACCCAGCCTCTACCTCGCGGCTCTCGGTCATCTCACGCAGCTCCTGATGCACCCTGTCGTGCTGCTGCCGGAGAAGCTCCTGCTCCCTGGTCAGCCTGAGACAGGAAGGAAGGAAGCAATTAGTGTGCCGCTTGGCTGCCAGCTGCAGGCTCTGCCCAAGAGACCCACTCAGAACAGAAGTGAATTTCAGGGGAGGGGAAGCAGGAGAACCAGGATTGTCCAAGAGCCCCCCTTAGGGCATCAGTTTGTTCCTCATTATTCAGTCACTGGACAGTGCAGCGCTCTGCTTCTGTGGCCCCGCCCACGCCCCCCAGCGTCAGCACCCGGAGGCTGGAGACTCACCGCGCCGTCTCCTCCGACAGGTCTGCACGCGTCTCTCGCAGCTCATCCCGCTCACCCTGCAGGCTGGCCAGGTCTCTCAACAGTGTGCTGAGATCTAGGGCACGGTGCACAGCACGGAGGTTAGCTGCACAGCTGGCATCAGTGGATGTGCAAAGCTGAGAAGGCAGAGGAGCCCTTGCCTGCCCACCCCCCAGGGCAGGTCTTAAGCAGCAGCCCAGATACTGGAGTATTGGGGGGGGGGGCACATCAGTCTTATCCTGCAGTTGGAGCTGTCAGCAAGATGCCCTCCAAGAAAACTCCAGGGTACTGACATGCCAACGGAACAGGCAGCTACTGCTACAGGCGGTGCCCTCTAGCCAATGTTAGAGGCGCCGGATGCTCAGCTCAGTCCTTGGCATAGCAAGACATGGTTTGGGCTTTGTACCCCAGCATGTAACCAGCAGACAGCATCTCCCAGGATCTCACCCCAGGAAGGGCCAGCTGCTTCCACCGCTTGGGCCTTTGCACATCCATACAAGACAGCGAGAGACCCAGCCTCACATGCAGACATACCTGCTCCCAGCCGGGAGTTTGCCACAGTCAGCTGATCCACCTGGGCTACAGAATCCTGCAGCTCTGCAGTCACTTCCTCCAGCCTCCCAGAAACCGCCTCCAGCTCCCTGGAAGCCTGCAACAGACCACAGCACCTGGCTCACTGCTCAATCCTGCCCCTTGGGGGCTTCTCTGGCCCAGCCCAACGGGACCAAAAGCTGGACACTGCTGGCATCCACATCCCAAATGGGATGAGTGCTCAGGGGTTTCTAATGCCCTCCCAAAGATACAGGAGGGGGCAGGGCAGCAGTTCTGCACAAGATGGCAATGCTGGAAAAGGTGCCGTGTTCTGACACCTGGATGGCAAACGCCCACCGTGCTCAAATCGTCTGCCCCTTGGCATCCTCGGGTCTGCGCCAGACATCTGGGGGACAGGCCTCCTTGCAGCTACACTCCAGCCATTGGCCGCTAAGCATGGCACTGCTCACATGGCCATCTTGCACCAGGGCCATCCTGGAGGAAGGAGGTGCTGACTCACTCTCAGCTCCTCGGCGTTTGCTGAGCACCGGCCTAGCACCACCCTCGCCAGGGGCCCCAGGGAGCCCTGACAGCCCCACTACTGAGGGATGGCACAGCCCCAGCACACAGCAGCAGCAGGACCCATACATGGGGGATTCAGCTGTTCATGTGGCGTGGCTGCTGCTGAGCTGTGAGGCACCCGCCCCCCGGAGACCC